TTGGCCCTATCCCTACCTATCCCAACACTGTCATCACCACATATGCCGATGACACATGTATCCGATCAGTAAATAATGACCCCTGAATTGTATCCCAAATGCTTCAATCACACATCATAAATCTTGAAGAATGGTGTCAATACTGGAGAATTAAAATAAACTCCAATAGATCCCACCAAATTACCTTTACCCTTTGGCGTAAACCAATGACTTCCTGTCCTACAGTTTCCTTTAACAATAATCCACTTGTCCCTGTTGAGCAAATCCGCTACCTAGGACTCGGCCTGGACAAACGACTAACTTGGGTTTCTCATACCGGACTGAAACGACAAGAAACCTCTCTACGTTTCCGATTACCCCAGCACTTACTAGAAAAACGCTCTAAACTTCCAATTAATTACAAAAGACTCATTTACATGACTATAATAAGGCCTAGTTGGACTTACGAAGTTGATCTATGGGGATCCACAAAGCCATCGAATAACTCACGTATCCAATCCTTACAATCCAAAATCCTTCGTAAAATCCTCAATGCTCCTTACTTTGTTACTAATAAAATTATCCATAATGACCTTAACTTTAGTTATGTTTCAGATTCGGCCCAATCCAGATTCCTGTCTTTCCATAATAAACTTCAGAACAATCCAAACCCTCTCGTTTTTAACCTTGCTTCCTCTTCAATTCCTGATAACCCTCCGAGGCGTCTGAAAAGAAGATGGCCTCGTATGTAGACATATTATTAGAGTGCTAACAGTAGGTAGTTTTTCAACAAGTGTTTTCATGTCATTATACCAATTTTTACAAATTTACTAAATGTATGTAAGTCGCCTGTACTCCAGTTGGATCCTGAGATTTTTTTTAGGAGAAACTATCTCATAATAATTAATTGATTATTTCATTGATGTTTCTACAACAATAGATTTCTCACAGTTTTCCGTCACCTAATGAATGATAATTTATTCAAAGTTATTCACGATTACTATACATAATACGGTAATATAGATCGCTTTTCCGGCTGTCAGGAATGATGGATTTTCATGAATGAGTTATAAAATGAAAAGAAATATCATTGAGAAGTGACGAATCCCGATTTAAAAACGTAAACCTTCAATTACGAGGTGGACAACAAAACCCTGTATAATAGTTCGTTTTAAAGTCACATAATGAACCGTTTTCGAGATAAACCACAACTCTTGTCTAAAGCAATGGTTGCCATGGAATACTTATCGCTTGTTTAAGTTTTAAAAATTAAAATATTGCTATTCATGGTAGTCATTGACTAACCACTAGTCCTGGTACTGATACTGTCGAACTGAAGGAGTATTTACCCTGGTCACTAGCGGATTCAGGATTTAATTTAGGGGGGGGGCTTCAGCCCGAAAGTTTTTTTTCCATAAAAATAACGATAATTACTTTGGAAAAAAGAAAGAAACTAACTACCTATATGAAATGGTGTTTAAGTGATTCCTAAAGTCCTTTTAAATGAAATTACACGAACAATAATACTTCAAGAGATATTAAAGGAAGGAGATGGTCTGGGGTGGCGGTCATAAATAGGCTAAATAGTAGTAAAACTATTTTTATTGAAAGTCTACGTTTCGATTTTGCAGGTTTTCTTCAGGACTAGAACGGACAAGATACAAAAAGATAGAGAATTATGGCAGTTATATAATGTTTAGACAAAATTTATAAACGATGTGAATAAGCTTATTGAAATTATAAACAGTAACTACATTAAAATATGAACAAAGTAATGTAAGTAACAAGATCCTAAACTGAAGTAAATAGATGTTGACAATTGTTGTAGTGTAATATATAATAAATGCAAATGTGAATATACTTCTACAGATCTACAGGAGAGATTGAAAGAAAAGGAAAAAGGATATAATATGAAATAATAGACATGAAGGAATATGGAGAAAGAAAAGAAAGAAAACCATAAATTAAATAAGTAAGTAAATAAAATTAGCATAATGCAATTAGAGACTTACGTCGGCTTTCAATAAAAATAGTTTTGTCACTATTTAGCCTATTTATGACCGCCACCCCGGACCATCTCCTTTCTTTATAATGCAACGGTCAACTATTAAATATTCTTTAAGAGATATTCTTTTAATATTTTTTTCCATCAAACATGATTATATTTTACCATTTTTTTGGGGGGGGGAGGGGAGGGGGAGCTTCAGCCCCAAAGCTCCCTCCCTCCCCCCGTAGATTCGGCCGTGACCCTGGTTATAAAGTATGAAGCTTAAACAATTTTGTATTACATATAGGTCAATTAACTACCGGAACCGGGGCCTATCTTATTTTTCTTCTCCACTCTTTTTTATCTCGTACGAGAATTCTTCATCTTTCTGAAGAGATTTCCATCCTTCTCTGAATGTACTTCATCTCGTCCAGCCATCTCAGTCAGCACGGGTGGATCTGCGGGGGAAGGGGAGGGGGGGGGCTTTCGGGCTGAAGCCCCCCCTCCCAAAATGGTAAAACATAACCCTGTTTTATGGAAAAAAAATTTCATCCATGCGCAATAGCTTGAACGTAATTAATGAAAAACATGTTTTTCTTTAGACTGTAGCGCGAAATCGGCTCTAACGATTTTGATGAAACTTTCTTATAACGTTCTCATAATTATCCTTTCTATTTTCGTATATGGACTAAATTCCCGAAAAATTTCAGGAAAGAAAAATGTTATGGGGCCTAGCTCTCTAAGTATATATTATACGGTAAAATTTATAATAAAACTTTTAAAAGGTAATTAGATTACCGAGAAAAAAAAAATCATCGGAATCGAACCAGTATTAACGATGATACAGCTTATTCTATTTTTTACACATGTTTTTAACTTATTACTTTCCTACCTATACTAGGTAAGGAAAGTATTGCAATCGTGTCCAATTTCCGGTATGACGAAAAACTATATAAAAATCGTTCATTTCGGACAACCATTAACGAAGTTACAGCTATTCAATTTCCAATGTAAGATTACGGTTTCATATCCTGGTGTCAGAAAGGATTGAATGAGAGAAAAAAGATGACTAAGTGAAAGTAAGAAAATCTGTTGCCCGCATCACACAAGCTTCACTATTTCCCTTACCTTTAACAGAAATTATTGTTTGACAATACTAAGCTATAGCAAAAAGTTTTTGATAAGCGGTATTAGTGAGTATTGAAATTTTTACATTGATATACCTTATGCCGGTTTACATGGAGGAGTGGACACACCAGATATTTTAATCCTTTTTTAATTTTTTTTTTTTTTTTTTTTAGAAAAATAGCTTTATTCTGGGACACAGTCCCTTGAGAATAACAAAATAGAACAAAATTAAAATATTACATCTGGCCAAAATAAAATCAATCGAAAAAAAGAAATAATGTAAAAAAAATATAAGGTAAAAATTCTATATACAAAACAAACTAAACTATATACAAAACCATTAATACTATGGCAATACACTTAAAGCTATTTGCTCTTATAGACCAGTATACACTTTTCCGAAAAAAATAAAGAATTAAAAAATAAAAATGTATCAAATTCTCTATTAAAATCCGCTCGAATGGTTAGCAAGTATCTGACTGTTTCTGTGATAGGAATTGGAATAGGAGGGATTTGAATGTGGATATGGAGGGGGAATGTCGAATTTTGATAAGGAGGGAATTCCAGAAATTGACAGAGCGAACAATAAAGGAATTTTGGAATGAGGCAGATCTGTGAGAAGGCATGTAAAGGTCAGAAGGTCGAGATCTTGTGGACAGGGAATGGACTGAGGATTTGAACTGGAGAAGGTTGTAGGCGTAAGAAGGACGATGGTTGTTGATGATTTGGTAGAGGAACGTACCCAGAAAATATTGTCTTCGGAAGGAGGGGAAAAGCCACCTTAACTCAGTGTAGTGGTGAGAGGCATGGGAGTACCTCGGGGCACCAATAACAAATCTTACGCAGCTATTCATTAATCTTTTCAGTCTATCACGTAGCTCCACCGAGAGGCCATCATACACCACACAGCTGTAGCCAAAGTGGGGGAAGATGAGAGAGGAAATTAGGAGTCTACGGATATGTTGAGGTAGGAGATGGCGGAAGCTATGAAATAGTTTAAGGGTTTTTGTACCAACCACCTGGACAGTATAAAAGTAGTGTTATTTAGTTGATCGGGCGTAGATGACGTGTTTTGCGCCTAAACATCGAAACATCGAAACAATCAAGTTAAATGGTTAGGAATAGTTTTAGAGAAATTGTTTTATTTTGCTCATGTGTTTCATGTGAGTTTTGTTAATTAAATGAAATTTACAACTAACAGTATAGGCCCAGATTTTGGAAGGATGAGACGGGCGATAGTTCCTCCCTCCCCCAAAAAAGAAAAAAATTAAAAATTATGAGGGAGCGAAAATATCGTTTCGCCTCCTTCCTCCAATGATTTCAAATAAATATTAAGAAATAACGAGATAAATACCCTTGAATCAATTTAAATTATAATATATCTTACAATTTATATAATTAGCTTATAAGCTGGAACAATCTAAACAAACTAAGCCGTATCATTTTCATTCGTTTGACATTGTAAATAGAACATGTAATTATAATAATTATGATAATGATACATTATTGCATTTATCCACTCAACAGATAATAGCGGACATATTGCGAAACCACAGCTATTTAGATAATGAGTCTCCTCATATCACATATTCTATTATCCTGTCACGGCTTACATTATCCGGAAATCACATTGTGCATTTCCCCCTGCCAGGGGGACACGAAGGTGAAATTATTTTAAAGATATTTGTGTAATAAAAGTTCCGGAAAATAATCGTCCAAGTTCAAAAAATTTCAAATGCTTATATCTAAATATAATGATAATAATGTTATAAATTATCGGTAATATCAGAACGCATCCATTGACAAGTGAATGAATCAAGTTACGTCAACTGGAACTACGAAAGGAAGGACGGACGAGGTAATGTGATATAACTAACACTATGTTATCAAGGATGCACACACTTACATGCTGTTCATCTGCACGCACATGTTCACATCGTCTAGTACCAGCTTGTTCCCGAAGGACTTCTTTGCCTCCGAGACTTCTACCATCAAGTCCTCAGCCTCCATGGTCGCCCTATAACAGAATATATATCATAAACTATATAAAAATAAGTTAGTTTATTATTTACATTGAAAAGAAGAAAATAGAAGTGTACACGATATTAAAAAAAGTTTGGTTATTATTTCTCAATAACGGTGATGACGGTTTCGAACTTGGTTTATATATACACGCGCTGCTGTGGCTTAGCCTAGAAAAATGAAAAAGAAAGAAAATAGAAAGCACATATGAGTAGATTAGTAGCAAAGGACATCTATCATTTTTAAGAAGTTGGGAAATAAATTTGTCTGTAAAATGGCTTCAATTTAAACTAATTCTAATGGTTTTTTTTTTTCATGATTCAAATTGAACATTCATAATCATCTAAGTGAATACGCCGTCATTCATAATCATCGGAAACAGTCTGAGTTGAACTTATAAAACTAAATTAAAAGATTAATAAAAAAAAACAACGAATAATATTATTGACCTACATAAGGAGAATCATCTACAGTTCTTTATGGGTGCGAAACTTGGCCGCTTACATTAAGGGATGAGCAGCGTCTTAAGGTTTTTGAAAATAAAGTATTGCGTAGAATATTCGGACCGAAGAAGGATGAGGCAACCGGAGAGTTCAGACGGTTACACAACGCCGAATTGCGTGAACTGTATCCGAGTAATATAATTGAGATAATTTCATCTCGGCGAATCAAATGGGCTTGTAAAGTTGTTGGACTTAGTAACGAGAGAATTCCTAAAAGGCTAATATTTGCTGTGCCGAGTGGTAAGCGTCCGAGGGGTAGACCGAAGCGAAGGTGGGAGGGAAGATTGCATTAAAGCCGATCTGAAGGGACTGGGTTTGGACGGCGAACGATGGAGGGAGGTGTGCAATAAGCGATTGGTGGTGTCGGCATCGAACCTTCGGGTTCGCTAAGCCTTTTTATTATTATTATTATTATATAAGGAGAATCATATAAATTCTTCAAATGATAATTTCAATTACTGTAATAATTATGAAACTTTCGATTAATCAATAAAAAAAAAAAAAAAAATGCTTGCCGACGTTCGGTAGTGAGGAAACAAAAGGAAACGGCCTTTTCTGAAGAGAAAGCAGAAAATGTTTAAAACTCAATAACTCTGCAACGAACGGTCCAATTTCGATGATTTTTTTTTTATTTTGTCAGCGATTCAGAAATCTTTCTAATAAATGTGGGTCAAAAATTGTGTACTTTTTTAGTTATCGTCAAATAAAATATTGAATTCATCGTAATATTTTTCAGCTTGTTTTCGGGAAAGTATGTTATACACATAAATTAAAAGGGTTTCAAGGGGAAGACTTTAGCCAAGTTTCGTTAAAATCGGTAAAGCCGTTTTGGCACTACAGTTTATAGCGACACATTTTTTGCGGCTTTGAACTGAAAAACATTTACATTTTTATTTTTTTTTACATATATAAAATTATCGTAAGACAGAAGTACTATGAAACCTTCCCAGGAGTGTACGGAACAACTTCCCAAAGTTTCATGGCGATCGGTTGAATGGTTTAGTAATGCACTAAGGACAAACAGACAGACAGACAGACATTCATTCATTTTTATGTATATAGATTTTTGAATATAATGTTTCATTACAACAACTATTTATGCGACTCTGGCCTATTTAAATTTCTATTCTCTCATGCTCATAAAGAAAACTCTAAAATATTTACAGATAACACTTTTAAATATTGGACAACTAGCAAATATATGGTTTTTTTTCTAATAAAAATAGACATGTTTGAGGGGAGCTAGTATTAATCCTTGCGGTACTCCTGCAAAGACTGTAGGAAAGAAAAAAATACGTAGAAGAGGAAGCATTGAAGAATAAAACAAGTACGTGTGAGGTTCAATGGTCTTGAGTTATGATATTAAATTTACATATTATTGTACATTATTGTACATATTATCGTTGTGCTAAAGTAGCATGGAAGATATGCATGTTCAACATCAAAATATAATGATTGCGTACATAAATAGTATCCGTCGTTTTATAATACCAAATAATCGTGTGTGTATAATAATAATAATGCTTTATTTATTATGGGACAAGTCTCTTTAGAATAATGTACAGAGATAGGAATGTCTGCTTTGGAGCCTCAGAGAATAATTACAAAATAAACAGATTTATATAATGAATAAATAAAAGAAAAGAATATTATTTATCTACAATCTTCAAGTAAGAGAAATAAAAGTATATAAAACAAACTAATTATTTATATACATATTTACATTTACTTATACATCTATTTACAATTTTATGAGAACTGAACGGATAAGAGGTGATTGAACAGGAGGGATTTAAAGATGGGAAAGGTATTGGAGCGATGGATAGAATTCCATAGGGATGTGGATGGAACAATAAAAGATCTGTCTAAAGCAGCGGTTCGGTGGCATCTTGTATACAAATCTGAAGACCGGGAACGGGTTTTGCGGGAGTGGACGTAGGATTTAAACTGAAGGGGCTTGGAGATGTATGAAGGGCGACGAGATTGGATGAAACATACATAGTGTCATATGTACATACACATGCACCTGTACAGTCATGGGCGTACGTATAGGAGGACTAAATAATTTGAAAAAAAAAATATTATGCCACAGGTTTGTCGAAAATTTGAGAAAATTAATTTTTATAAGCTATTGTCCTATTGCCTACATACATACATATTGCATTTCGTATAAAGATATTTATAAATAGTAAGAATAACAAACGTTTCCGAAATAAGATTTTCCATCTTGTTTCACTAATATGAAAGCTGCGTACGCCATGATTGTGTCTCTAAAATTCAGGTAAAGAACATAACATTTATTTATTTAGTTACAGTTTAAGGTGGCATTTGCAACAATGGTCAGAGACAGCGTGCTCTTGTTGCATAGTTCAAACCAATTTATAAAAGTGAAGTATGGTAAAATTTTTATGGTTACCAAGTCATGTCGGGATCAAAGGCAATGAGATGGCAGATTGTATGGCCAAGAGAGCTATCAAAGAAGGTCAACCTATCATCACCACTCAACCTTCTGAAGTTGTCTCTTTAATCAAAGAAAAATCATGGTTGGCGTGGCAAATAACTTTGTCTGCCACTAGAGATAATAAGCTAAGGGTTGTGGAGCCATACGTCCGGAGAGTCACTCCAAATATCCTGCTGACCAGAAGGGAAGAAGTGGTACTGACCCGGCTAAGGATCGGACACACTAGGCTTACTCACGAATACTTAATGAGGAAAGACTCTCCCACTCAATGTCTTTCCTGCGGGGTACCTCTTACAGTGAACCATATCCTAACCGAATGTTATGCATTCCAATCTTCTAGGGATCAACATCTTCTCAGAAATAGCCTTGAAGAATCACTCCAAAAGGACCCCAATGCTATTAAAAACTTAATATTGTTCCTTAAGGAAATCAAAATATTTAACAAAATTTAACCACACCTTGTAATTGTAAATGTTAAGTTTTTTAAGTTTGTAAGTTCCTCTTTAATTTGTAAATATACCTGTTAATTTTTTCTCTTTTAATCATAACTTTTAACTATAATAGTTTTTCAATTTTTCTTCTCTTAATTTTTAATATTTAAATTGTACTTCCTAACTTTTCTTCTTTTAATATTAATTCTGTTTTTTAAACTGTATTTTTAGATTATATTCCTGAAATCATTAACATTTTATTTAAATGTCCTTATTAATTGTTAAGTTATCATTCTCTAATCTTTAATGTTTAATTTTAATGGTTCTTGTACTTTCTAATGTTTAAACTGTATTCTTTAACTTCGCCTCTATTAGTATTAATTTTTTATTATTTAAAAATGTATTTTTTAGCTTTTATTCTTAATATCATTAATCTTTATTGTCTCTGTTATCTCATCTTCTATTAAATCTTTAAGTTTCAATTTTTATAATTTTAGTTCAATTGTACTATCATAATCATCTGTAATTATTCTTAACTTTTCAAACTTTAAATTGTATTTCTTAGCTATAGTTGAATTATGTGTGTAGTAATTCATCAAATTGTAATATAGGGCGAAAATGACCCAATTGGTTGAAGAGCCCAAAACATGTATAAATAAATAAAAGTTGCCGTTCTTCAAAAAATAGAGTACGTTCTTCTGATTTCCTTTTTCAAATCTTGACGCTAGCTGCGGAGGCATAGCGAATGTAATATACCCATCAACGTTTTGTCAATCAATGTATCATCCCAAAGTGTAAAGTATTTTAACATGAATTTGATATTTGTTTATTCAACTTTCCAATTTAATTAAAGTGTAGGCAAATAACTCTAATGAGTTCAACATGGGCAAGATTCGACATATGTTGGCAGTAGACTGTATTTTGATTTAACTAGTAGGTTGTATTAATTGTCTAAAATAAAAATCCCAGTCTGGTCTAGTTGCTGTCTATGGGAAGTTCTACCTTGGAATGGGCTGAGAGCGTCTTGCCGGTTCAAATCTCTTATCTACGAGATCTGTTTTCACTACTCGCCGCAAAGCGACGCTCGGGTATAATAGCATTCAACACAAAACATTATTCGAGTGTTACAGAGATAGAGAGGTAGGGAGAAATAGTCCCAAAAGAAAGATATTTGTGGCAATGCAAATTGCATAGACAGAAATTAGATAATGCTGTAAATTATAGGATTGAAAGCTGAAATTTGAATAAATTTTATTCTGAAACGTTGAAAATCTGAGATAAATCTAATAAAACTAGCTATTTTTTAATTTAACTGTGTGTGATCAGCTGGTTTCTTCTGTTTTTCTTTTATATCTATTCACGAGGTATAATTCAAATACCTCAGTCCCACAATATCCTCAGTGAATGTCCGACGGTTAGAAATATACCAGCTTATAACTAGTGCAAACAGAGCTTTCTTCTCCATTTCAAAGGAATTAAAATCCCGAAAATCTCAAGAAATCTCAAATTGAGGGTGTACAATGCTGATTAACTGATAAAGCCAGCTGTAATATGTGGTTGTGAGACCTGGACACTGATAAGCAAAAAAGGATTAAAAGAT